CCAGAGAAAGAGGAGAAGAGTAAGTGGAAGAAAAAGAATGACAGTGGCTGATTCAAGATGGATTCAATGCATGGCAAGAGGTGCTGGTTTTACAAGAAAAATGAGGCCAATTCATGTGGGAAGTTGGAATAGAGGACTAATTTTTAGAGCTGCAATTGTAGCGATGTCATCATCTATGTTGAGCAGCCAATCTCAGAATAGAGGATATCTAATGCATAGGGAGGCACAAGCGATAGTTCAGGTTGGCAAAGAACTGGGTATGTAGTGTGAAAGATGTGAAGAGAATTTATTATTTAAATGTGCTGAATTAGAAAAAGAATGATGCAAATAGGGTTGTTCAAGGGGTGGGGATTGATCGATCCTAAACAACACAAGTAGGAGATTTGGGAGTTCAGATTGGTTTGTAATGATTTTGCTCACATGGAATATTAGAGGGCTTGGAAAGGCTAGAAAATAGAGGAAAATAAAGGAGGTGCTCAAAGAAAGGAAAGTGAATGTGGTGTTTTTTCAAGAGACAAAGAAAGCATAAATTTTAGTGGAATTAGTGCGTTCATTATGGCCAGGGGTGGGGGTGGAGATTGGGTTCATGGCAGTGGATTTGAATGGGTTAGCTGGTGGACTTTTGTGTATATGGAATCCATCTGTTTTTGCATTGTCTAGTTGCTGCTGCAACCGAAATTTCATTTTGTTGACAGATACTATTGCTCTATCTTTTATGTGTTTGCTAATAAATGTGTACACACCAAATGAGGTTTCTAGGAGAGGCTTAGTATGGAAGTCCATTATTAGGTTAAAGCCCTTTTTCCAGTATCCTTGGTTTGGGGGGGGGGATTGGGGAAATGAAAGGTTATTTTAGAAGGGAGGGGGGTGTGAAGAAATTTAATGATTTCATTGATCTAATGGAGGTTACAGAATTAGAGATGCTTGGGAGGAAGTACAATTGGTGTAATGCTGCGGAGAGAGAGAAGTTGAGTAAAATTGATAGGTTTCTTGTCTCCTGAGTGGCTCTTAATGTTTAAGTTCAAAGTATGGGGGCTGTCTAGAATAGTTTCTGATCATTGTCTACTGGTACTAATGGAGGACACAAGAGATCGGGGTCCAAGACCGTTTAGGTTCATTAATGCTTGGGTGTTGCATCCTTAGTTCATCTTTGTGGTAAAGAAAGCTTGGGAGGAAATAGTGGTATCAGGTTGGGCTGGTTATAGAATTTTTGCCAAGTTAAAAGCAGTCAAGGTATCGTTGAAGCAGTGGAATTTGGAAGTATTTGGTGATATCAATCACAAGCTTAAAGCATCTGAGGAGAAACTACACAAGCTAGATCTTGTTGTTGAAATTAGAGATCTTGATGATGATGAGTTGGGACAAAGAATGGAGTGTACAGGGGAGGTGCCGAAGTGGAGTAAGAGAAATGAATGATTGTGGCTTCAAAAATCAAGAGTGTCATGGACATTGAAAGGGGATAAGAAATCCAAGTTCTTTCATTCCATTGCATCTTGTCGTCAAAATAATAATTTGTTAAATTCGTTAACTGTAAATGCAATTATGATTGAGGATCCAGTGAAAATTAAGGAAGAAGTTTTTAGGCATTTCAGATGTTTATTTTTAGAATTTTGGGAAGTCAGGCCTAAGCTTGGAGGAGTCTTTAAATCGAGTAGGAGTAATGATACTAAGGTTGAGTTGGAATTTGCTTTCTCTGAAAGTGAAATATGGGCAGCTGCGAAGGAGTGCGATGGTAATAGGGCACCTAGGCCCGATGGGTTTAACTTGTCATGTTTCCAAAAATGTTGGAAGGTGTTTAAGGAGGAGATGCTTCAATTTTTCAAAGATTTCCATTGTAATGGCAGATTGCCCAAGTGTCTTACTAGTTCCTTTGTAACTTTAATTCCAAAAAAAGATTGCCCAACTGGTCTTACTGATTTTAGGCCAATAAGTCTCATTGGGGCAGTTTACAAGATCTTATCTAAAGTTCTTGCTAACAGATTGAAGCGAGTAATTCCTATGGTGGTTAGCGAGGTACAATCTGCTTTTTTGAAGGGGAGGAATATTTTCGATAGGGTATTGATTGCAAATGAAATTGTGGATTGGTGGAAGTGTTTACATAAGAAAGAGATGATTCTAAAATTGGATTTTGAAAAAGAGTATGACTCGATCAACTAGGAATCCTTATTTTCTATGCTTGAAAATTTTGGCTTTGGAAGGAAATGGGTTGGCTAGATAAAGGAGTGTGTAACTGCAGCAAGAGTTTCAATCCCTGTTAATGGGTCTCCATCTTCAGAATTTTGTCCGGAGAAGGGGCTTAGACAAGTTGATTCTTTTTCACCTTTTCTTTTCAATATTGTTGCCGAAGGACTTAATGTTCTGCTAACTAGAGTTAAAGAGATGGGACTGATTAGAGGGGTAATGGTTGGGGCCAGTGAGGAGTCTATTTCTCATCTACAATTTGCTAATGATACCATCATTTTTTGTGAGACAAATTGGGTGAAAGTGCTCACCATAAAGAGAATTCTAAGATGCTTCGAGTTAATGTCCAATCTAAAAATAAATTTCCATAAAAGTTGTGTCTACAGGGTAGGTGTGGAAAAAGGGCTCATTGATGATTTTGTAGCTAGACTACATTGCAAGTCTAGCAAATTACCTTTTACTTACTTAGGCTTGCCATTGGGGGCTAGTCCAAGGAGATTGAAAACTTGGAAACATGTTTCTAATCAGTTCAAATCCAAGCTAGGAGGGTGGAAAATGAGGCTGTTATCGTTTGGTGGAAGACTAACACTAATTAAATTAGTGCTATCAAGTCTGCCTGTGTATTACCTGTCCTTGTTTAAAATGCCAGAAAGAGTGGCAAAGGTTATTGATAAGGTTCAAGCTACTTTTCTTTGGGGAGGTTCATATTTAAAAAGGAAATTACATTTGGTGAAATGGGAGGACATCACTAAAAGTAAGAATCAAGGAGGGCTGGGAGTAAGGAGAATTAGAGATGTTAATCATTGTATGCTTTCTAAGTGGTGGTGGAGATTTGAAAATGAAGATAAGGCCTTGTGGGAAAGGGTAATTTGTTCCAAACACCCGATGTTTGGTGGTAAATGGTTCTCATTTACGGATAATTCAATCAGAGTATCAAGGGTATGGAGTGACATTCTCTGTGTAGCAGATTGCAATCTCCATCTCAAGAAATTTTATTTTTCAAGTGTGGATTTTGCTATTGGTGATGGGAATAGAATCAGGTTTTGGGATGGCGAGTGGCTGGGTAATCAATTCTTCAAAGAGACGTTTGCGAGGTTGTTTGGATTGGTTACAAATAGAGATGTTTCATTATGGGGGCTGCTGGATCAAAGGGGAGACTTTGAGGAGTGGTGCTTCGAATTTAGAAGGCCTTTAAGGAAATGAAGATGGCAGTGGTGGGTGAACTTATTTCACAACTTAACACAACTCATATTGTACTGTCTAATATTGATGATTGTCTTAAATGGAAAGCACTGCCTTCGGGTCAGTTTAGTGTGGCTTCAATGTATAATAGACATGAGATTGGAGCTATCTATGACGCTCTTTCTATTATTTGGAAAAAAAAAAAAATTTATCCTCCAAAAGCACAATTTCTTGGATGGCTAGCATAGAAAGGTAGAATCAAGTCATCAGATTTTTTTACAGAGGATTGGTGTAATTAGTGAGGATACTAGTACTCTCTGTGTGCTTTGTAACTGTGAAGGTGAATCTTTGAATCATCTGATGCTATGGTGCCCAGTGGTGTGGAGATTATGGTCAAATATTTTTAAATGGTGGGGTTTTCAGGAGGTAATGCCTGGATCAATTAAGGGGTTGTTGTGTTGGTGGGATGGGTTTAAGTTTAAGAACTTTTATTGGATGTTGGGGAAACCTATTCCTAGTGCCCTTATGTGGTCCTTATGGAAAGCAAGAAATGATTGTGTATTTAATGGGGTTCAGTCTCATCTGAATGAGTTATGCGATTTAAAAGTTGGGTCTTGAATGACGAAATTTTTTTGTCTCGAAAGAGCTAATTTTGTCACTATAGATATTTGTGACAAAATATTTTTGTCACCAGCTTCGTCATTGAATGTTTGTCACTAAAAACCACCATGATGAAAAATAATTTCGTCACCAATGAAATTAGTTTAGTGACGAAATTTTTGTCACCAATAAAACAAGATTTTGTTGCCAAAAATTCTCATTTTCGTCACCAAATAATTTTTCAATACCATATTTATAATTTTAGTTGACGAATAAATTTGTCACAAATGTTGATCATTGATGAGGAAATAATTTCGTCACAGTAAAATATAAAGGTGACAAAATTTTTCGTCTCCATTATTCAATACCATATTTATAATTTTAGTTGATGAATAAATTTGTCACAAATGTTGATCATTAATGAGGAAATAATTTCGTCACAGTAAGATATAAAGGTGACGAAATTTTTCGTTTCCAAAAGTCATACATGGGTGACGAAATATATTTCGTCGCAAATATATTTATATACGTGAAGAAATATATTTCGTCATCAAACAACAAAATCAATGAAAACTTCCATATATATGCATTGCAATAAATTTTGTCACAAAAAATGTTTGTTAATGACGAATAATCACTTTGTCATAATAACAAGTACAAATGACGAAACAAATTCGTTACTAAACCTGTTCCATATTTTATATTTCAATTTCAATTGTTATTTCACAAATATCTCTGCTCATATCTCAATAGCCTTTTAATTATACTAAGAAATCGCTAGCTATTATACATCACTCCACAAAAAAAAAATCAATAAACAATTTATATTATAAATCAAAATATATCCATCAAACAACTTTAATAATATAAACCATTAAGTATAACAAAAAAACCACCAAAGCAAATCCTAAAATGAACTAACGTGGAATCTACAAAAAAAAAATCAACACTCAATCTTGATTTGCAACTACAACTAAGTATCAGTTCAGAAAACAAAATTCAACAGTTGATCTTCATTTGTGGTATATCTTAGTTACGCCATCTACATGAAAGACACTAAAAATGCTTTCACTTTAAGATTCATATTCAACTATTATTACACCAGCCAAACCCAAAACTTGAAAAGTTCAATTACAAGGTATATATAGAGAGGCCAATATCACCACAACTCAAACAAGAAGAGTAACAAACAAAAAATACAATGAAGAGAAAGAAGCAGCTTCACATCGTGAAAACTAATGCAGGTTTGAATGAAGGGGGCATTGCTGCCAATAGCTTACGTTGGTCTCATTTGACTCAGAATTCTACTGCAATCAGAGCCTTCAAAAGAACTTAGCTTTGATCGCCCAAGGTCCCACGGTAACTGTTCACCTATCCCACCATTACTTGCCATGTTACTACTTTCAGATTTCTCACAGCTTGCATACTTCATTCACATTGCACCACGAAAATATTAGCCCAAGCTAATTGCATACGAATTACTTTATGTATTTTCTCACTCTCTTAGAACAGGTCTCAATGTATCAAAATTAACTCTTCAATAGCATAATGATAATTTCATATCAGGAATATACAAGGTACTGGGGCAGCACGGGCATCATCCAAGGGTGGACCGTCATTTCTGGTCATTGAACATGAGATCATTGATTAGGTTGATGCCAATATCAAATATGGGCTCGATTGGTTGCTCATCACCTTCCATTGAAGGCTCATCAAAGCTCAAAGGTTCTATACTGTACTCATCTGCAGAATAAAGCATCACCAACTTTTATCATCGAGTAACTTGAGTATTTAAAACACAGGTTCAAAATTTAATGCAGTAAAAGTTCACTAGTCTTAGATTGATCTCACTGGAAGTTAGGAACAGCTATTGTTATTATCAGTTTGCCTCACTGAAGTTGCCCAATAAGGAGTAGACCACGAAGCACCTAATCAGAGTCCATGCCACAACTGAAGGCCAAACTTTACAACCATGAAATCACTAGCACAAATTTTTAGAAATTTTGGCTTGATCTGAAACCTATGTGCAGCACAGAAGATTTTGATATTGAAGAAGCTCAAGGGCCAATCTTACTCACCTGCTAGGATAATAATAGATCCCAATGAAGTGTAACCAAGGCTCAGGAAGATATGCCCATATCAAGCAAATAACTACCCACAAAAAAAATGAATAAATAAATAAAAGGGAAGTATAGCATGTTTTCAAAAAGCACCAAATAATGTCATTTGATCCCAAAAGGGATGCATTGAGCGGGGGAAAAAACTTTATCAGAGAGATTAACATTATGTATTTGATTTCTTCATTTTTACTAATGATCATAACCAATTGCACACCATGTGAACCTTCAGACAAGTGGATCAACTCATAAATAGATTTTTTCTTTTTTCTTTTTCTTTTAATAAAAAAGGTAATGCATCAAACACATTAAAATGGAGATACTTTAGAATTTATAGTAATCATCAAAATTACAAACAGTTTCCAAGCCTGAGAAACACAAGTCAGTTTAAAAGGAATCATTGTCATTTTTTTCAAATGCATAACACAATTCTAGCTGATCAAATTATCTACATAGATGTTGTTCTTAGAAACTCTATGTCATTCAAAAGTGTTCAAGCATCCTTAAAATGTCAGGTATGCAGGACTTCTCCATGAAATATCAACGGTAAAATTGGACATACGCATGAATTCTTAGAAACATCATAAAATATCTAAGTTTTTTCGCCAGTCAGATTTCAATCTAAATGTGCTTACCAAGAATATTCCTCACCGCCCCCAAAACAATCATATCCATATAGGTGCAGGCAGAGTCTATAATTTATATATATGTGTGTGTGTGTGTGAGTGTGTGTGTGTGTGTGTGAATATTTACACAAAAGAAGTACTGGAACTCAATTCATTGGCAATCTATGATGATTCGTGAAAGAATTATACCAGTAGCAACAACAGTTGAGATGGCGCCAACAAAGCCATACACTTCAGAAGGGTTTGGACCATGATCTCCGGACACACCAAACCCAGAAGCTTTGTTGTCATCAGGCTCTGGAAATGACAGAGTTCCCCTGCTTTTCCTTGAGAGACTGAGGACCCTTCTTGGACTATTGACAGAACGGGGATCTTCCATTGCTCTCTCTTTCAGCAGCATTCCATGTTTCCACCACACTCAAAGGTCCATCATTAGTCCCATAACCCAAAATCCCACTGGCTGCACAGGTGCAACTATAAATTATAGCAAGTCTCCTCAGAAATGTTGAAGTACACAGTATCAAGAAACGACATTTTTACTTGTGGGTAAAAGGCCGGCACACAAATACTGTGTTCTTTTCAGGTTTATTTGCATAAAAGGGTGGCTCAATCTAAGACAATAACAGTTTAAAAAATGAAATAATCCCAATGCAATTCAATTTTACAACAAACTGTTCTCCAAATCTCCAACCATAACTATACTCCTTATACTAAAACTCCAATGAAAACTATAAGTCCCAAGTTTAACTCTTCCACAGCACAAGCATGATCTTGGAAGAGGAAGACTAAATTGGGTGGAAAAAGAAGAAAGAAAAAAAAAAAAAAAAACCAGCTAGAGTAAAAAGCCCAACACTAAGTTCAGTTTCATTGCGATATTCTTGGTAATTCTCTGCTTTACCATCTACCCATTTCTCCACTACATTTATACAAGGAAAGATGTCAATTAATAAGATAAAAATCACACATCATAAATGCTTACAATAGTTTGGCAAAGTTTTGGGTTATGCTTCACTACGACATTCTTGGTAATTTTTTTTCTTTTACCAATAACTCAATTCATTAATCAAATTACACAGGGTGAATGTTGAACTATGTAACAGATCTTACAAATGATCCTAAATGAATTAGGATTAATAGAATTGCATAGCATGATTACCTGAGCGATATTCAGACTGATGCATTCAATCCTAGAGATCACAATTGGAGAATATCATATCCAAAAGAAAGCAATTATGGGCCCAATGTTGAGATGTCTTTTGCCATTTAATATCTTTCCACTTAGAACTTAAGGCCTATCTTGTCTCCATAAATAGCTGTTACAACTAATTTTAGCATGAATCTAACAAATGTAAGTCAGCATAGCATTTTAGATAATTAGATAGTCCATTTCAAATCATTAAAAATTACCACAATAGCACATCCCATCATGGAAATGGTGGAACCTCATGTCATCTCTAACTACAATCTAACTACAGTCTCCCCGCCTATGTATGTTATATGGTAAGGCTAAATGAAAAGAAAATAAATAAAAGTTCAGAGACCACATAAAATGACCCTTCAACTCTAAAATACTCAACAATATGGCAATGTTTCACACAGGTATTTTATCAAACACAAGGGCTTCTACACCGACTCCCTCTCCCAACCCTCTTCTGGCTCCCCAACTTCTTCATTCCCCTCAGGAACTCCTATCCCATCTGGTTACACTTCCCCTTCCGCCCCTTGCCACAACCCCTCCAACCATCTACTACCATAGATCCATTGCCTCATTCCCTCTTATCCACAACTACAAAACTACTCTTCTTCTCCACTACAAATCTGAAATGCCTGCCCTTTCCCTCCCTACTATACCACCGCTAGCCCTCCTCCTCTCACACCGCACCTCCATTACAACATTCCATCCCCATCACAGCGCTACCACGTTACTGAAAACCCTTACCCCACCATTAAACAACTACAAGCGAGAGAGAGAGAGAGAGAGAGAGAGAGAGAGAGCCCCTCAAGAGTCCATTTATATGTATACTTACAGAACACATTCCTTATTCAACTAAGCGGAGGGAAATTCTGTGAGCAAGGTTCAAAGAAGAAGAGTAGAGGATCAAGAAAGTTTCATTTCCTCACTAATAATTTTATAATTGGTGACAAATTTTTTTCTCACTAAAAGTCTCAAAATTTTGACATCACCCAAAAAAAAATTAGAGGAAAAATCTTTGGTGACGAAATTTAATTTTTCCTCAACTAAAAATAAGTATTTATTGACGAAAATAAATTTTGTCGCCTATTATTTTTACTTTTTATTATATGTGACAAAATTTTATAATTCGTCACGGATTAATCTTATTTAGTGACAAAATATTTTCTTCATTACTTTTCGTCACATAGGTTTAGAGAGTTAATTAACTTATGTTTTGTTTTGAGAGAGAGAGAGAAATTGATAAACAAAAATAAAACGGGGTAAAAAGTTAGTTATCTATTTTTTCCATTACTGCCTAATATATCAAAAATTTTCCTCCAAAATTGGTGGAAAATAATTTCTTCACTAAAAAGTCTCAAAATATTAAAAATAATTAGTGACAAAAATATATTTCTCACCAAATGGTCTTAAAATATTTAAAATCAAGTTTCTCAAAAAATATGTATACAAAATTATTGGTGACGAAAATATATTCCTCGCTAATAATTTTATAATTGGTGACAAAAAAAATTTCTCACCAAAAGCCTCAAATTTTGGCGCCAACCAAAAAAAAATTAGCGGGAAAACCTTCGATGACAAAACTTAATTTTTCCTCACCTAAAAAGAAGTATTTGTTGACGAAAACAAATTTCGTCACCTATTATTTTTTTTTTATTATACGTGACAAAATTTAATAATTCGTCACGGATTATTCTTATTTAGTGACAAAATTTATTTTCTTCACTACTTTTCGTCACCATAGATTACTTTTGTTGTATTAGGATTATCTTGTGGTCGAAACCTCACTATCCCAGGTATAAGTACATAATTCATGAACTTGTTAACAATGTGCAGCGGATCAAGAGCTCTGCTTTATGACTTGACGTGTTGTTTCTGTTGTTTACGTTGAGATGTTGCCGCTTTTGATGTGCTTGTTGCTGCTGATATATCTGCATTGGATACTTTTTTGAAGGTGTTTGCTTGGCGGAGTTCATAGTTGCATGGGATTATTTTTTTGTCATTGGTTGGGCCTCAGGAATGCTTGGTTGTAATTGTTAGTGATTGCATTTGTTTGTTGATTGTGTTTTGCTTGTTTTTGTTTTGCTCTGTATGTTGTTTACTCACTAACTTGGAACTTAGAGCTTGGAGCTTTTTCTCGCAGATGATTTGGAGTGTATTTTGGTGTCAATCTGGTTAGAATCTTGATATTTCACTGTGATGGTTTTTTGCATTATTCTCTTTATTGATGTATTTTTTTGTACTTTGTATGTTTTTTTCATCAATAAAGCTTTCTTTTTTTGCTGATAAAAAAATAAATAAATTGTCAATAAAGAGTTTGTTATTAACTAATAAAAGGTGACAAAAATGGATTGTTGCTAAAGGTGATAATCTGTGACACAATGGCCCCGTTTGGTGTACCTGTTAAAATAGCTTATAGATTATAACTTAACAGATTATAGATTATGACTTTAATCAGAAGTTGTTAATCTGTTTGGTGTAACTGTTGGATTATATATTTAAGTTGCTGAGTAGTATTCGTTAAATAAGCTGTGAAATAGCTTTTTCAATTAATTTTTATGTTTTGTTATTTAATACTTGTCTACATTTCTCATAAATAATAATAATAATAATCCATAGTCCATTTGGATCTTTTTCTATTTTTTAAAAAATAAAAAATAAAAAAATCTAAGAGTATAACCATAAATTAACATGTCCACAGCAGAAGTTGGTAATCAGAAGTAAGGGGTGAGCAGTTTCTCAAAATCAATTTTTTTGAGTTAAAATAAACTGTTAGAATCAGAAACTGTTTGAAATAAGTTTAACCAAACAGTCCAAAATAACTTTTTCAAAACTAAAAGCTACAAGTTAGCCTTGAAAAGCTGAAACAAACACCCCCAATGTCTCGTTGCTAAATCGCTAAAATCATGGACAATGTTTCTTTTTTGCCACAAAATTATAACCTTTGGCGATGAAAAATATCATTGTTTTTAGAAACCTTTGGCCACAACTTGGCAATAAAATCTTGAACATCACCAACCCAAAAAAAAAAAAAAACCTTTTAATGACAAAAAAATTGACTTTGGCGATGATTTGATGACGCTCATGACACTGAAAAAACTGGCATTGTACTAGGTCATGACTTTTGATGAATATAGGCTTTTCATAAGAATATCAGGGCTTGCTTAGGTAGAAGAGTGTAGTGGATTATTAGGCAGATGCTAGTCTGGTGGTTTGTTCAGTTGATCAGATGCCAGTTTTGCACTGCTTTGCTGTTGTTTGGCCATTGGGTTTTTGGCTTGTTGGTGTGTTTGTTACTTGTTGGCCTCTCCCCAATGCTGAGATGGTGCTTGCAAATGATAGGATATTATATGTAGTGTCAATTTTGTTAGGATTGTGTTATTTTCTTTGATACTCTTTGTACCTCCTCAGCTTTTTTTGATATGATTTGATATGTAATGCATGTTTTTTTTGTCATAAACAAAGTTTTTTTTTTTTGGCTAATAAAAGAAAATAAGTGTGAGATCTCCAAGGAAAATCAGAAGCAGAGTCATAAAATCCCTAAAATGATTGCTGCAAAATGAAGTAGTGATCATTTTAATGAATCAATTGTAAAAATCTTCCACCGATAGAGCGGTTTCTCATGTAAAAGCAGTCGTGCACGCGTACACACACAGAGAGGCAGAGAGAGAAAATCTTGGATGGGTCTCAATCATCTTATTGGTTTTCTCATGAATGAATCATGGTATATGAAGAATGTACATGTTTGATCATTGCTTCTAAGTAGGGGCTTATGCGGCGGTTTGGTTGGGTTCGACATTAAATTTGAAACCAATCCAATTAAAATTGATTTTAAGTTTTTAGATTCAGAACCAGACAAATAATACATTATAATTAACCCAAACCACCCCAATATAAAATGGGTTGATTCAGGTTAAAACCATAGTTCGACTATATTAAAAATATATGAGTCAATCAATAAATAAATAATTAAAATAAACAATCTTTGTTATTTAAATATAGGAAAATGTTTGGGACTCTCTTTTGGGGAGACCCCCACCAGCCACACAGTGATGTGAACTAATGATGTGTTTGTATTTATTATTTCTTTCTCTTTCTGACTTGGACCAATCACAAGTGAGTGGGGGTTGGGGGGTGATGTTTTGTGGGGGTCTGAATCATTACTGATAAATATAATATAAACAAAGAGCAAAATATTATTTAATACAATACAAATTAAATCAAACTTAAACTTAAACATAACTAATACATATTAAATCAATTGCGGAATCCAACTCCAACTTCTATCACTTCTTTCCTTCACCTAATAATTCTTGTATACTGAAAGTTATTAGTTATAATCAAATCCATTATTATAGATCAATTAAGCGAAAGCAAGTCAATATAAATAAAAATTTAATATATATATATATATATAAATAGGTACGGTTCTCGGATTGGTTCGAGTTAAGATAAGGTCTAAACCTAAAACCAACCCAATCCTATCGATTTGGTAATTTGAAAACCCATAATTAAACCAATACACTTAAAAAACCAAACTAGTCCAATCCAAAATAAAAATCGATTTGGTTCTATTTCCGGTTCTCTTTACAATTCAAGTCTCTTATCTCCCCATATTTCGACGCCATATTCGCCTGCTTGACCTGACAGAAGAAGAGGAAGAGAGATTGAGGGAAAAGAGGATTTGAAAGGAGGCTACGCAGTGGTAAGATAAGTGGAAGTTGACAGTGAAGGTGGGAGGTTATTAGTGCGATATAAAAAGTGGCAACCCTTTTAGGTGTAAGGTCAATATCATCGAAAGTAATTGCCTATATGAATTGTTGAATTTGAGCTCCCCATCAATGACCAATAATGGTGCATGTAGATTTGGACTACCAATGCCTTTAGGGTTGGTAAGAGTAACAGTATGAGAAAAACCCTTTTTACTCATCAAAGACACACACCCCCTGATGTGTGTGCATATAACTCATTTCAACAAGAAGTGTCAAATTTAATAGGTAACCAAGGTAACCAAGTGGAGGCTGGAGGCTGGAACCCAGTGTTCAGAAAAAGACACAGTATGAGAAT